AATGCTCCATCACTGGAGGTTTTTAAGAAGAGATTGGACAGCCTTTTGTCTGAAATGGTCTAGGGCAGTGTTTCTCAACCTTGGTAGCTTGGTAACTCCCAGAATTGAAGTCCACCCATCTTCAAGCTTCCAAGGTTGAGAAACACTGGTCTAGGGTTTCCTGCTTGAGCAGGGGGTTGGACTAGAAGACCTCCAAGGTCCCTTCCAGCTGTTTATTCTGTTATTTCACCGGTTCTGGTGCTGATTTTTGGCATATCGAATAGCAAGAGCCAGTTTCTTTAAGGGATGGTTTGCAAAACTCGGCGTCTCCAGCCAAAATCTCTTGTTGCCAGTGACCCAAGGAAAATTACGGTCCGAAAGCAGAATCGGGAATTCTTTTCCTGCAAAATTTAGGGGCGGGAAGGAGAAAGGAATGTCTGGTGTTTACTTCAGCTGGATCTAAAGAAGGTCTAAAGTTGGGGGAAAGAGAGTGTGGTTTACAGATTCCAGCATTAGAAAATGCCAGAATTAAGGAGGGGCGGTTTCCTGTAAACACTTCGACAAAGTGGGCTCTGAGGCCGGCCAGGGTGGCATAGAAGGGTCACTCACAGCTTGCTCAACTCTTTGCCTGTTTGCTCAGTTGATAAATTGCCTGTTTCTCTTTCTCTGCTGCCCCCACCACCACCTGCCTTCCCTACCTACAGATAGTCCTTGACTTACGAGCAGAATTGAGGCCAAGATTTTTGTGTTGTTAAGCAAGACATTTCTTAAGGGATGCGGTGGCTCAGCGGCTAAGACGCTGAGCTTGTCAATCGAAAGCTCGGCAGTTCAGCGGTGGCTCAGTGACTAAGTCGCTGAGCTTGTCGATCGAAAAGTCGGCGGTTCGGCGGTTCGAATCCTTAGTGCCGCGTAACGGGGTGAGCTCCCGTCACTTGTCCCAGCTTCTGCCAACCTAGCAGTTCGAAAGCAGGTAAAAAAATGCAAGTAGAAAAACAGGGACCACCTTTGGTGGGAAGGGAACAGCATTCCGGGCGCCTTTGGCGTTGAGTCATGCCGGCCACACGACCACGGAGACGTCTTCGGACAGCGCTGGCTCTTCGGCTTTGAAACGGAGATGAGCACCAACCCCTAGAGTCAGGAATGACTAGCACATATGTGCAAGGGGAACCTTTACCTTTAGGCGAGACATTTCTTGAGTGAATTTTGCCCCATTTTACCATCTTTCTTACCACCGTCGTTAAGCGAATCGAGGCAGCTGTTCGGTTAGTCCCATGGTGGTTAAGTGAATCCAGCTTTCCCCGTGGACTTCACTTGTCATGTGGTCACAAAAGGAGATTGCGTAACCACCCCCACCCCCCATCATAAATATGAGTCAGTAGCGAGTTGTCTGAATTTTGATCACGTAACTAAGGGGATGCCACAACGGTCGTAAGGGTGAATAATGGTCATGAGTCGCTTCTTTCAGTGCCGTTGTAACTTTGAACGATGTTCTGCCCCAGCTACGGACCCCAAAGAACACAGCACATACAAAGTCTGTACAAACCTTAGTTTACTAAATTAAATCAGTCTTTTTCAAACAAAGGCTGTTAATTAACTTTAACAGAAATTCAAAGAATAATCGTAATCTTATTATGGTTGGCAGAAGGCCCAGAAGCAATTTGCAGAGAACTAAGATCCAGACGCGAAGGAGAGGGAACGAAGTTGTTCCCTGCAAATTGCTTCAGTCGGCGTTCCTCCTTAAATAGGCCAAGGGAGTAGCCAATTAGCCCCAAGCCTTACTCTTGAGGAGATCTCCTCCTGAGGAGCCAGTCCTGCCTTTTGGCAGCTCTGCACGCCCGTGCATCGAGAAGAGGCTCCTCCTCTTCGTCCTCTTCACTTATGGGAGCTTCTGGAGGTTCTGAAGGCCCTGGCTGAATCCCCACCTATGGCACCACATCATCTCCAGCCTCCTCACTGTCCGACTCGAGTGCCAGCTGCACAGGCTGCTGGCACAGCATCACACCAGCCTCCTCGCTGTCGGAATCAGCTACTAGCTGCACAGGCTGCTGACGGGCCACAACAAACAGTCACTAAATGAACTGTTGTAAATCGAGGACTACCTGTACTTCTTTAAGAGCAGTGTTTCTGAACCTTTGACAACTTGAAGCTGGGTGGACTTCAACTCCCAGAGTTCCCCAGGCAACCAAATATAGAATTTATATTTATGGAGGTGTTTACATGCATGGCTGGCTGGGGAATTCTGGGAGTTGAAGTCCACTCAGATTAAAGTTGCAAGGTTGAGAAACACTGTTTTAGAGCTTGGGTTTAACTGGGGAAGGAACCTCCCCCCCCCCCCCTCAGCCTCCTGCGCAGAATTCACACAAGCTCGAAAAATTCTCTTTTGTGTTTTCTCAGATGGGAGATTTTAGGTCAGCTCTGGTCAGAAGCTTCCTCAAAGTAGAAATGTGGTACTTCGGTAAAGATAGATTTGTAAAATGAAGGGGGGGAAAGCCGTCTTGAAACAGAAGGCGTACAACTTTTCTTTCTTTTTAAAAAATTATATTAATTGAGGTATTTCACATAAAAGTCAAAGATAAATTTAAAGGAAAAGATAGAAAAGAGAAAGGAAGAGGGGAAGGGAAGGGAAGGGAAGGGAAGGGAGGGGAAGGGAAGGGAAGGGAAGGGAGGGGAAGGGAGGAGAGGAGAGGAGAGGGAGAGAAAGAAGGAAGGAAGGAAGGAAGAAGAAAGAAAGAAAGAAAGATGGATAGAAGGAAGGAAGGAAGGAGGAAGAAAGAAGAAAGAGAAAGAAAGATGGGTGGAAGGAAGGAAGGAAGGAAGGAAGAAGAAAGAGAAAGAAAGAAAGATGGATAGAAGGAAGGAAGGAGGAAGAAAGAAGAAAGAGAAAGAAAGAAAGATGGATAGAAGGAAGGAAGGAAGAAGAAAGAAAGAAAGAGAGAGAGAAAAAGAAAGAAAGAAAGAAAGATGGATAGAAGGAAGGAAGGAAGGAAGGAAGGAAGGAAGGAAGGAAGGAAATGATACAATGACTTCCAATCTTCTCAACAGATATTTACAAACCTATCTTCCTTCCTTCCTTCCTTCCCTCCCTCCTTCCCTCACTCACTCACTCCCTTTCTTTTAGGTATGGGGGAGCACAAATAGTAGTTGAGACTGGGGGAATGTTTTCTTTCAAAGTACCCAAATATTGGTGAGGCAGGGGTTAGAATTCAGCATTGCAACCTGACTCTGCCCACTGCCAGCAGTTCGATCCAGACTGGCTCAAGATTGACTCAGCCTTCCATTCTTCTGAGGTCAGTAAAATGAGGACCCAGATTGTTGTTGGGGGTGGGGGGCATAGGCTGAACTCTATAAACCGCTTAGAGAGGGCTGGAATGCACTGTGAGGCGGTATATAAGTCTGAGTGGTATTATTATTGCTACTCATTATAAAATATCACCCCAACGATGCCCTTGAAGTGATGTCCCGGTGCCTGGAGGCCGTACGGATCTGGATGGGGAGGAACAGGCTCAGGCTCAACCCATCCAAGACCGAGTGGCTGTGGTTTCCGACGTCCCGATATAGTCAGTTGACGCCATCACTGACTATTGGGGGCGAATCATTGGCCCCCATGGAGAGGGCATGCAACTTGGGCATCCTCCTGAATTCACGGCTGTCTTTAGAAGAGCACTTGACGGCCGTGACCGGGAGGATTTTTCATCAGGTTCGCCTGATTCGCCAGTTGCGTCCCTTTCTGGATCGGGACTCTTTACGCACGGTCACTCATGCCCTTGTCACCTCCCGCCTGGACTATTGCAACGCTCTCTACATGGGGCTCCCCTTGAGGAGCACCCGGAGGCTCCAACTGGCGCAGAGTGCGGCCGCGCGGGTGGTAATGGGAGCGACATGGCGTTCCCATGTAACACCTCTCCTGCGCGAGCTGCACTGGCTCCCGGTGGTCTTCCGGGTGCGCTTCAAGGTTTTGGTTACCACCTTTAAAGCGCTCCATGGCTTAGGACCCGGGTACTTGCGGGACCGCCTACTACCACCAATAGCCTCCCACCGGCCGGTACGCTCCCATAGAGAGGGGCTCCTCCGGGTGCCGTCAGCCAAACAATGCCGACTGGCGGCCCCCAGGGGGAGGGCCTTCTCTGTGGGGGCACCTACTATCTGGAACGAGCTCCCCCCAGAGATACGGAGGATCCCGGATCTGCGCACCTTCCGCCGCGCCTTAAAGACCTTACTATTTCACCAGGCCGGCCTGGCCTAATTTTCCCCCTCTTTTATAAAAGATTTTTAAAATTTTAAATATTTTAAATATTTTAAATATTTTTTAGTATTTATATATTCAATTTTAAATTGGTTTTAAAAGTTTGGGGTTTTAAATTTGTCGGGGCCAAAATTATTTAATTTGATTTTATTCTATTTTTTAAATTTTGTATTGTATGTGTTTTTATTGTTTGGCTGTGCACCGCCCTGAGTCCTTCGGGAGTAGGGCGGTATAGAAATCTAATAAATAATAATAATAATAAAAAAATAGAAGAGATTTAGAACTTAAAATAACTATTGTCACTTTGAATGTACACTAACCAATCGGCATACATTAAAATAATATTCCATTACATGCCACTCTCAATGGGTGACCATCTCCAATATACACTACATAAACATGACCAAGTCAATCAATCAATCAATCAATCAGTCAATCAATCAAATAAACCAATCAATCAAACAACCGTAAGCAGCATTATTTTTCCAGCTAATGCTGGAATAAGCCATCAATTGAGTTACATATACCGTAGTTCTTGACATGCAACCACAATTGTGACAGGAAAATTCATCACTAAGTGATGTGGTCGTTAAGCGAGACACCACATGACCTCTGGTTTTCCCTGTCAGCTTCCCGACTGACTTTTGCTTGTTGGAAGCCGACTGGGAAGGTCCCAAATAGCCATCACGTGATTCAGGGACCCTGCAGCCTTCATGAAAGTTAGCCGGTTTCCAAGGGCCTTGGTCGTGATCCTGTAATCACAGGGACGTCTAACAGTCGTAAGCGCGAGGACTGGGTGTAAGTCCCTTTTTTCAGTGCCGTTTGAATGTCCTTTCAACGAATGGGTCGTAAGACGAGGACTACCTCTAATACGGGACGCAGCCAGTCGGTTCCAGCGGGCGAAGTCTTCCATCGGTTTTGTGTTCTCCTCCATTTTTCCCACAGGTCCGCGTACCGACCCGGGGTGAGTAAGATCAGCTCCCGCGTCCTCCTTCGGTTCCCCCAAAGAGTGAAGAATCGAGGGACAGCGGACTTCCTTCCGGTGAAGCCGCGACACCAGTGGGAGTGGCACAGCTGTCACCAGTAAGCGAGCCAAGCGAGACGGGGACGATTGGGCGAGGCTGACCCGTTTATCGAGCGCACCGTTTTCTAACCGAAAGTCCCATTTCATGCAAAGTACTAGTGATGTGGTGCACAAAGACTAAGGGGGGGCGGGGCTTGGCTGATGACATCACAAGGCATGTTTCATTGATTTTTTTCAGAACTAAGGGGTGGCGCTTGCCTGATGATGTTACCACATGCTTCAGAACTAAGGGGTGGAGTTATTATTTTTCAGAATTAAGGGGTGGGGCTTGCCTCATGACATCACAATGCACGTTTCCTCATTTCTCAGAATTAAGGGGTGGAGCTTAGTTTAAAATATCACAATGCAATCATTTTTCAGAACTAAGGGGTGGGGCTTGGCTCATGACGTCACAACACCTGCTTCATCATTTCTCAACACTAAGGGGCGGAGCTTGGTTCATGTTTCCTCATTTCTCAGAACTAAGGGGCGGAGCTTGGCTGATGACATCACACCTGCTTCATCATTTCTCAACCCTAAGGGGGGTCGACTCGCTTCATTGACTTGCTTCATGATATCACAACACATGTTCCATTTGTTCAGAACTAAGGGGCGGAGCTTGCCTCATGACATCAAAATGCATGTTTCCTCACTTCTCAAAGGGGCGGAGCTTGGTTTATGATGTCACAATGCACGTTTCCTCTTTTCTCAGAACTGAGGGGCAGGGCTTCTAGCATGACATCACAATGAACATTTCCTCATTGTGATGAACTCTCTGCTGTGGGCAGAAGTCCTTCCGGCCAATGTAGCAAATTACTGTTAGGGCCTAATACAGGTAGTCCTCGACTTACGTCAAGGAAAACAGTCGCTAAGTGAGTCGCACTCAGTTTTACAACCTTTTTTGCCATGGTTGTTTGTTAAGTGAAACACTGCAATTACTAAATGAATCAGGCAGTTGTTAACGCTGCAACCATCATAAAAATACATGCTGGTTACCCAGTGCCCAAATTCTGATTACATGACTGCGAACATGCTGCAACAGTCATAAGTGCAAGGAGCGGCTATAAGTCACTTTTTTCAGGGCTGTTATAGCTTTGAGCAGTCGCTAAACAAATTATTGTAAAACGAGGACTTACCTGCAGCTTTTAAAAATCTCTTTTCTTTCAGGCATTATCATAGCATGGACGCCTTCAGCAACTATGACCTTCTGGATGTCGTCTCCCATGAGAAGGTGGCCGAAGGTCACAAAGCCAGTTTCTGCCTGGAGGACACCTCTTGCGACGCAGGGGTCCGACGACGCTATGCGTGCACCGCTCATATTCAGGTGTGCAACGGCTGACTTTTTCTCAGCTGGATCTGCCCACCTCCGCAAGCTGCAGTGCTTATCCATTGTATATAGGTTTTATTCGTTTATAAAATGACCCCATAATCCCTTGCGGGGTGGAGTCGGGGCAGCTGAATGGAGCAGAGCGTTTCCTGGCCGGATGCTTTTCCTGTCACCAATGCGGAGTTTTGTTCAGCAGATATATATTCTCATTGTGCCCAGAGAGAGAAATATCAGCCTCTACTTAGGATCGAACTCAGAGCCTCCTGATTGTGAGGCGACAACTCCACCTCTAGGCCACTGCACCATTCTTATTAGCTTTATAAAATAAAATAGAAAAATACAAAAGCAAATAGAAAGGAACAAAGGGGAGGTAAAGAGGAAAGATGAAGTGGAAAAAGGAAGGGAAAAAAGCAAAAAAAACCCAACCATTGTTGGTTTCCAGACTCCCTCTGGTGCAGTAGAATAAGACAGTTACCTCAGACTTCAACTTTTTACGTTTCCATAATACTATAAACTAGCCATTTCTGTAACGATCAATCTATCTCAACAGTAAAACCCCAAACCAAAGTTTCATTTTTTTTTCCACCTCAAGCACAAAGTCCAGAAGTGGTTTCCAAGTAGAAACAAAAATAGTGGTACTATTCCTTTGATCAAAACAATCAATTCAGCCATTTCTGTTAACTCCATCAAAAGCCATGGTGCTTATCTATTTTATATGGAATCTATTCGCTTATAATATAAAATGGGGAAATACAAAAGCAAATGGTGGGGAACAAAGGGAGAAAAAGAGGAAAAGAGAAATGTAGAAAAGAAGGAGGGAAAAGGGGGGGAGGCATTGACTTCCAGGCTCCCTTGTGTACAGTTGAATAAGACAGTTACCTCAAACCTCAACTTTTTACTTTTCCATAATAGTATAAACTAGCCATTTCTATAACGACCAAGCTACCTAATCAGTAAAACCCAAAATCAAAGTTTCATTTTTTTCCACCTCAAGCACAAAGTCCAGAAGCGGTTTCCAAGTAGAAACAAAAGTAATTGTGATTTTTCTTTGATCAAAATGGTCAATTTAGCCATCTCAGCTAACTGCATCAAAAGCCGTAGTGCTTATCCATTTTATATACATTTTATTTGCTTATAATATAAAAGAGGGAAATACAAAAGCAAATAGTAGGGAACAAAAGGGGAGGAAAAGAGGAAAGGAGAAGTGTAAAAAAGAACGGAAGGAAGGAAGGAAGGAAGAAAAAATCAGCATTGGCTTCTGGACTCCCTCTGGTGAAGTAGAATAAGACAGTTACCTCAAAGCACAACTTTTTATTTTTCCATAATAGTATAAACTAGCCATTTCTATTAACAACCAACAATCATCTTACCCAGGGGTGTTAAACTCAAGGCCTGCGGACTGGATCCGGCCCACAAGGTGCTTAAATCTGGCCTCCGGACAGTGATGAAATCTAAATTTTTTTACTACCGGTTCTGTGGGCGTGGCTTGGTGGGCGTGGCTTGGCGGGTGTGGCAGGGGAAGGATACTGCAAAATCTCCATTCCCACCCCACTCCAGGGGAAGGATACTGCAAAATCTGCATTCCCATCCCACTCGGGGACCAGCCAGAGGTGGCATTTGCCGGTTCTCCGAACTACTCAAAATTTCTGCTACCGGTTCTCCAGAACCTGTCAGAACCTGCTGGATTTCACCCCTGCCTCCGGGGCCACCCGGGAAACAGCAAAGGACCAGCCCGTCAGCGAAAACGGAGCTTGGGAGGGCCGCGCGTGGCCCTCCCAGACTCCGTTTTCAGCGCGACGTCCTCCTGCAGCCCTCTGCCAGCAAAAACGGAGCTCGCGCGTAGTGGGGAATTCTGGGAGTTGAAGTCCATACAGCTTCAAATAACCAATGGAACAGAAGTTCCCTTCTGAAGTTGTGGGAGCTTCATCCCTGGAAGCTTTCAAGAAGAGACTGGACTGCCATCTGTCAGAAATGGTGTAGGGTCTCCTGCTTGGGTGGAGGGTTGGACTAGATGACCTCTAAAGTCCCTTCCAACGCTGTTATTCTCTGTTATTCTCTTATTCTTAAATTGCTGAAGCAGGCTTAAGGCAAAATTAGTATTTCTGCTTTACGCTGATGGTTTTTAGCTGCCTAGAGTTTGCGTGTAAGACTGGCGGCCATATACAATTCCTCAATAAATATAATTAAATGTCATTTTTTCTCTCCCCTCAGGGTCTGAGCCCAGGCTGTTACGATACCTACCATGCCAATATTGACTGCCAGTGGATTGATATTACCGACGTCCCTCCTGGAAACTATATCCTCAAGGTAAGTCCTCCTCATCAGCGAATTTTGTCCCATTGTTACGATCTTTCTTGCCATGGTTGTTAAGCAAATCACTACAGTGGTTAAGTCGGAAACACGGTTGTTAAGTGAATCTGGCTTCTCCGTTGACTTTGCTGGTCAGAAGTTCGCAAAAGGGGATCATGTGACTCCAGGAAACTGCAACCGTCATAAATGCAGGTAGTCCTCGACTTATGACTAGAATTGAGCTCAAAATTTCCGTTGCTCAGTTGTTGAGTTTTGCCCCATTTGACAATCTTTCTTGTCACGGTTAAGCGAATCACTGGAGTTGTTATGGTTAATAACACGGTTGTTAAGTGAATCTGGCTTCCCCGTTGACTTTGCTTGTGAGAAGGTCGCAAAAGGGGCTCACATGACCCTGAGAAACTGCAACCGTAATACAGATAATCCTCGATTTACGATCACAATTGAGCCCAGAATTTATGTGGCTAAGTGAGTTTTGTCCCATTGTACGAACTTTCTTGCTGCCGTTAAGTGAAACATTACAGTTGATAAGCTAGTAACCCGGTTGTTAAGTGAATCCAGCTTCCGCATGGACTTTGCTCATCAGTCGGTCACAAAAGGGGATCAGGTAACGCCAGGACATTGCAACCGTCATAAATACGAGCCAGCTCTCAATAATCCAAATTTACTTCATGTAACCACTGGAATGCTGCCACGGTCGTAAGTGTGAAAAACAGTCATAAGTCCTTTTTTTAAGCCCCGTTGTAACTTCAAACAGTCCCTAAACGAACTGTTGTAAGTGGAGGACTACATAAGCCAGTTGCAAAGCGTCCGAATTTTGATCACGTGACCACAAGGATGGCTGCAATGGGCGTAAGTGTGAAAAACAGTCATAAGTCACTTCTTTTCGGTGCCGTTGTACCTTTGGTCACTAAGTGAACTGTCGCAAGTTGAGGACGACCAGTTTTGCCCTACGTTTGAGCCACCGTCTGTTGTGAGTGGTGAGGAAAAGGATGGTGCTGAGTGAGAAGGAAAGATCACCTCTGGATGCCAAGGGATGGAGCGTGACAGATTTCCTGTCCTCTTTTTCGAGGTGACCGTCAACCCCGATTTCCTGGTGGCCGAATCGGACTTCTCCAATAACGTTGTCCAGTGTGATATTGTGTACACAGGGATGTATGTCGACACGCAAAACTGCCGAATTACAAGGTATCCCTAACGAAAATACGTCCTGGATTAGTGGGTTGGACCATCGGGGTCTGCCGGGAGAGGCGGAAGGTCAAACCCAGGCAAGATGGCGGAAGCGTCCTTACCACCCAAGCCCCGCCTCCTTGTACAGGAGTTAACAAAAGGGGCGGGGCTTAAATCTCGGCGCTTTGTTGGCCATCTTCCTCTTTCCTGGTGACGTCATTCATTGTAGGACCCTTGAACCGTCCTCATGATTCTCTAAGGGTGAGGTGGACTGGGTCGCCCACCCACTGCAGATTCTTACCCTCCCCCCAAAAAATTTTGGGGGGATGGGCAGTTTTGCCCTCGATATGCAAGGCCTTTTGTCAAGAGAGAGGAAGTAGAACAATGGAGGGAGAAATCAGAAGTTGTCGGTCCTTTTCTGGGCTGAGGGAAGTTGTGGTGACATGCGACTTCGGGTATCTTTGTGGACCTCGGTAGCAGAAAGACGCAACCGGCAAGATGGAGTCGGTGGTCCCAGGGGAAAGGAGGGCAGGGCGGGCGCTAGAGAGGGAGAGAGCGCCTGGAAGGGTACCTCATTTAGTGCACCTGATGAAAGGAATTGAGGGAGAAAGTGGAAAGGGAGGAGAACATTGTGTATTTCCCCAGGATGTCACAGAAATGTAACTTGTAATTTCCTTCCTTTCCTCCCTCCTTCCTTTTTTTCATTTTTTCCATTTTTCCTTCCTTCCCTTTTTCATCCCTTTCTTTCTCATTCATCCATCCCTTCCTTTCTTCTTCCTTCCTCTTTTGTCCTTTTCTCATCTGTTCCATCCTTCCTTCTTTCTCATCCATCTATCCCTACCTTCTTTCTCCTTTCCTCAACCATTCATTATGTTCCTTTTCCTTCCTTCCTTCCTTCCTTCTTTCTCATCCATCTATCCCTACCTTCTTTCTCCTTTCCTCACCCATTCATCATGTTCCTTTTCCTTCCTTCCTTCCTTCTTTCATCATTCCTTCCTTCCTTCTTTCTCATCCATCTCTTCCTTTTTCCTTTTCCTTTTCCTTTCTCATCCATCTATCTCTACCTTCTACTTCCTTCCTCACCTATCCACCATTTCCCCTTTTTCTTCCCTCCTTCCCTCCCTCCCTCCCTTCCTTTCGTTCATCATTCCTTCCTTCATTCTTTCTCATCCATCTCTTCCTTTTCCTTTTTCTTTCTCATCCATCTCTACCTTCTTTCTACTTCCTTCCTCACCTATCCACCATTTCCCCTTTTTCTTCCCTCCCTCCCTCCCTCCCTTCCTTCCTTTCCTTCACCATTCCTTCCTTCGTTCTTTCTCATCCATCTATCCCTTCCTTCCTTCCTTTCTTTCTCATCTATCTATCCCTACTTTCTTTCCCCTTCCTCACCCATCCATCACTTCCCCTTTTTCCTTCATTCATTCCTTTCTCTCCCTTCCTTCCTTCCATTCCTTTTTTCTACCTACCCACCCATCCTTCCCCTTCCTTCTCCCCTCCCCTCTCCTTGCCTTCCCTCCCCTCCCCCCCTTCCCCTTCCTTCCCTTCTTCATCCATTTACTCCCTTCCCTTTCCCCTTCCCTCCATCTATTTACCTCCTGGCTTGACAGCAGTTTCTGAAAAGAGATTCCTCCAGTCCAGGAACCAAGCATCCTTGAGAGGCCCATTTTCGCCATTTCGGATGTCTTGAGTCCCAAGACATCCCATTCGACCCCAACTCTTTGCTGGAGAAGGAGGATGGAGCGAAGAACCAAGAGGTCATCTGGCTTGACCCCGTGCCCATTTTCTGGGACGCAGAACCAAACTCTTGCTGGCACCTTGGCCCATCCGTAGGAAGTGATTGCCTTCAACGCCTGTTGAAGATAAAACGAATTCCCCTCTCACCTTTTTCCCCCTCCCCTAATATTACTGTGAATATCCTGCAAAAATAACCCCATAAATAATCTCTGGCTATAGCAAACAGCACTCATTTGCATTTTAAAAGGGGTGGGGCTTCGATCAGGTGTTTACAGCCGCCATCTTGACACCTGTAGACACTTCTGATCTTTGATGTAAAGGGCTAGGCTCATTCCACACCTGTTTCACCAGGCTTAATAGCAGGAACTGTGAGAGGCAAGTAATTTCTGGAGGCAAGTTTTTCCACTGGTTTATTGTTCTGACTGTCAGGAAATTTCTCCTTAATTCCAGGTTGCTTCTCTCCTTGGATTAGTTTCCATCCGTTGCTTCTTGTCCTGTCCTCTTGTGCTTTGGAGAATAGCTTGACTCCCTCTTCTTTTTGGCACCTTCCAAAAGTGGAAGACTGCTATCATGTCTCCCCTGGTCCTTATTCTTGTTCTATCCCCGTCCCCACACACACACAAACAGCCAGCCGGGGATTAAAGAATTACTTGGCACACACCAGGTTCGTTATCAGGAACTTGGCAGCAATACGATAACCGTCTGCCAAGTGCTTTACTTCAAGAAGAGGGAGTTTTCCTCCACCAGATAAACACCAACAAATACACACAGTTTTCAAAAACAGTCCAGCTCAAACAGAAACCTTCAGCAGATTCAGGCGTTGTACAAAGTGACTAGCCAGAAGTTAGCTTTGTCTGTCACAGAGTCTAAATGGCCACCACACTCTCTTATATAGCCTGTGGGGTGTGGTCCAGTGACTCATCTTAATCCCTGGCACGCCTCCTCATCTGCTGCAAACGTTTATCTCGCCTTCGTTGGCGTGGATCCAGGAACGACGTATCACCGTCATCGTTGTCATCGGAGACACCTGGCTCCTGGCCAATTTCTTCTCCCTCAGCAGACACCTGAGGCATAGCCAGAGAGGAGGGGCCTGGAGAGGGAGGCCTGGCCGGCTCCTCTCCTTCATGTTCGGAGCCTTCTCCCTCCGATAAAATGGGCTCGGGGGTCGGAGCCACAATTATTCTCATTAAACTAGAAATTCCCAGTTCCGGCAACCGTTCTTCGCATGTTTTAGCCTCCAGTCCCCTAATCATCTTTGTTGCTCTTCTCTGCACTCTTTCCAGAGTCTTGACATCATTTTTACATCGTGGCGACCAAAACTGGATGCAGTATTCCAAGTGTGGCCTTACCAAGGACTTATAAAGTCCTACTAACCAGTGGTGAAATCCAAATTTTTTTACTACCGGTTCTGAGGGTGTGGCTTGGTGGGCGGGGTGTGGCTTGGTGGACATGGCAGGGGAAGGATACTGCAAAATCTCCATTCCCACCCCACTCTGGAGCCAGGCAGAGGTGGTATTTGCTGGTTCTCCAAACTGCTCAAAATTTCTGCTACCGGTTCTCCAGAACGTGTTGGATTTCACCCCTGGTACTAAGACTTCACGTGATCTTGATTTTATCCCTCTGTTGATACAGCCTAGAATTGTGTTGGCTTTTTTGGCGGTTGCAGCACATTTCTGGCTCATATTTAAATGGTTGTCCACTAGGACTCCAAGATCCCTCTCACAGTTACTACTATTAAGCCAATAATTCTTTGTCTGTACATTTGGTTTTTCTCGCCTAAGTGTAAAACCTTGCTTTTAATATCACTGAACTATATTTTGTGGGATAGGGCCTGCCAAGTTCCTTCTGGATCTTGAGCCTATCTTCTAAAGTATTCGCTATTCCTCCCCAACTTGGCATTGTCTGCAGTCACAACTCCTTAGCCAGAGAGGTCCATTTGCCCGAGAAGTGGCTGATGGGCCAAGCAGATTTCCAACTGAAAAGTTCCTGCTCGAATCCTTCACTGTTTTTCAACAGAGATGGAAGATCTCAAACAAGGTTGTTTCTTCACTGAAATTCTTGGGCTTTTACAAGGAGATTTTCTGCCCAGAAAGTACTGGCTGCAAATATCACGTTTCTCCAAAAATAAGACCTAACCGGAAAATAAACCCTAGCATGATTTTTCAGAATGTTTGTAATATAAACTCCACCCCAAAAATAAGCCCGTTAATATCGTCAGCCAGACAGATGCATTTTAGTACCGTATTTCCCCAAAAATGAGACCTAACTGGAAAATAAGCCCTAATGTGTCTTTTGGAGCAAAAATTAATATAAGACCCGGTCTTATTTTCGGGGAAACACGGTATTGAATGCTAAACTCCCTCCCTGCAATACGGACTTGCCTTCTTTAGTCTCCAAACAGACCTTCTTTTTCCATCTGCACCTGGTCCTTTCCAAGCAATTCAACAAAGGCCCATCAAAACAGAGCAGGAATTTGGAGCCCAGGTGCAAATTCTAGCATAGCTATAAGACAAGGATTTGCAAGGGCGAAGATTGTCAATAGTAGTGTAACCAGATAGCGGGTTTGTGGGCGTGTATGTATGCACACACGTGTGTGGGATGCACTCATGGCACTTAGCTGCCCCGTTAAAAAAGCATTCTTTCTTAGTCTCAATCCTTCCTAGAGAAAAAACAATGGCTACCAACCTGCCTTCCATTGAGGACCTGTATACTGCACGAGTCAAAAAGAGGGCTGAGAAAATATTTACAGACCCCTCACATCCTGGACATAAATCGTTTCAACTCCTATCCTCAATACGAGGCTATAGAGCAGTGGTCCCCAACCTTTTTATCGCCGCGGCCCGCTGAGCACGCGCAGGGGTGGGGGCACGGCCCAGGAGCTTTTGCGCACGGCCCATTGCGCACGGCCCAGGAGCCTTTGCGCTGCAGCATTCATGTCCCCCGGCCGCTGCGCGGCCCGGTGCCAGGTACTCCACGGCCCGGCACCGGTCCGCGGACCGGGGGTTGGGGACCACTGCTATAGAGCACTAAACACCAAAACAACTAGACACAAGAAGAGTTTTTTCCCGAACGCCATCACTCTGCTAAACAAATAATTCCCTCAACACTGTCCAACTAGTTACTAAGTCTGCACTACTATTAATCTTCTCATCGTTCCCATCACCCATCTCCTCCTACTTATGACTGTAACTTTGTTGCTTGTATCCTTACGATTTATATTGATATTGTTCCCTGATTGCTTATTTGTACCCTATGACTATCATTAAGTGTTGTACCTTATGATTCTTGATGAACGTATCTTTTATGTACACTGAGAGGATATGCACCAAGATAAATTCCTTGTGTGTCCAATCACACTTGGCTAATAAAAAAAAAATATTTTATTCTAGAGTTAGGTGTGATCAATGCAACTCATAACATGCACACAGGTTTTTAAGTTTGCACCTAATGGATATATACTTGAGTGGCATCTCCATTTATTTAATTCGTATCCCGTCTTTTATTACGATATTTTTACAAATTACTCAAGGCTGTGGGCATATCCGACACACTTTCCTTTTCTTTTCCCCACAACAATCCTGTGAGGCGGGTAGGGCTTAGAGGGATGGACTGGCCCAAGGCCACCCAATTGGCTTTCATGCCTAAGAAGAATTACAATTAGAAATGCCCAGCTTTCTTGTCTTTGCTTGGAAGACCCTTATTTATAAAATGCCTAGTCAAGGTGTATGAAGTTTTGCAGTAGTCTGATGTTAATGAAACATCACAACCTTTTACAACTTCTTTATTTTTCTATTAAGTATGGAAAAAAAAAATTACAGGTAGTAATTGAGTTATGATGGCAGTTGGGAAAGTTGCCATTGGTTAAAATGAAAATTGGTAGAGTGTAAAGTCATGTCTTTATTCTTTGAAATTTTATGTGATAATCTCATAATTTAAAAAGAATTACTATTAAATTAATTTTAAAATTGTAATGTTAATTTTATATGCTATTTTATAAGTTGGTTATATTGTATACCACCCAGAACCTGTCCTTGAAGGAAATGGGCAATCTAGAAGCATGAAATATAAATAAATAAATAACTTTGAAGAGTTGCTAAGTAAGTGGTCATTAACCAAGAACTAACTCTCTCTCTCTCTCTCTCTCTCTCTCTCTCTCTCTCTCTCTCTCTCTCTCTCCTCTCTCTCTCTTCTCTCTCTCTGTGTGTGTGTGTGTTTCTGTGTCTGTGTGTCTGTGTGTGTATTCTAAATTTTATGTTTAGTGTATGATACCATGAGAAATACAAAATATGTGATATTGTATTACCCATTTATATTGCTTTTGTACATGTGCATCTCTTAGGTATTTTAAATTGACTATTTTAAAACATGACTGAACGATTGATCTATTTAATTACATTGAATTTATTTTTCAGAAAGGGATTTAAAAAAATCACTTGTTAGTAATATGTTCTTGTTTTTATATGTAACATAAGTAATGGATAAATTGTTTTATTGTTCTATATAATTAAATACAATTATTAACTTATTGCCTTTTTCTCAAATGCCTGATCCTTAATTTAATACAAATGTTTTAGACAAATCAAAAAAGTTGTTTTAGAAGGGGTCTGATCATGATACGTCACTTGTACAGTCCCTGGATCTCCAGCTTGCAGACATTTATTGAAGAAATACCTTTAATGTGCCAAGTACAGTATGATTATTCTTCTGTGGATCAGACCCAACAGTAATTATTCATGCTAGAATCGTATCATGATTTGACTATTGTAATATGCTGGATACTTGTTGCTGCTCAGGAACACCTAAAAATTTCATATAGTGCAACTTTACATTAGCTGTTGGTCGTTTTGGGGGCACAATTTAAAGTATTAATTTAATTTTATTAAAGTCCAATGGAATTAGAGTTTGATACTCAAGGGACACATTTCTTGTTATGAGCCTGTCTGCTTTTTAATATCTTTGGAAGGAACATGCTATGTGGGAGGGGGCCTTTTCCTTTATTGTTTAGAATATACTTTCTTCAGAATTGTTAATAGGTCAACACAACTGCTTTCAGAAAGGATGTCAAGATATTGTCTTCAATTTAAACAGTTCGAATTGAATTAAATTGTCTTCACTTTAAACAGTGCTTTTAATGTGGGATTTTATACTTTTTAAATGTGATTTTTATATAATTTGAACTATGGTTAGGCCTCGCTTAAGTGAGATTGGCCACTCCATCACTAA